ACCCAATAAACACAATCATTTCAAACATTCTCCTTATTATTCCAACTATTTTCTAACTCATTAACAGCTGTTTTACTTTAGTTACTCCCGACGTAACGAGCCTATAAATATTTGTTGTGCGATAGGATCTCCAGCCGACTATAATTGGCTGAAAGTATATTAATGCTCGTCTGCATTAAGCTATTATTTTTTAATAAAAATAAGTACTAATGGAAAACATAATTAGCAATTACAATGGACGAAATTAACAATCTGAACTACTGGGTAACTGGTGTTGCCTAACAATTAAATAAAGCAATTAGTTATTACACTAGCATTTTCAAAGAGAACAAATTACATCCGCGAGGGCTGTGTTATCCTACTAATTCTCTTTAATTAAACAGCTATAATAATAGCTAATAAGTACAATTGTTTTTATTTAATAAACAATTGAGTGCTGAGGTGGGCAAAGCAGCAGGTGTGACTTTTTATACGTGAGGTATCGATATTTTCTTAAATCAGCAAATTGAGTGCGAAAATGAATGAATGTTATGTCACCCGATGCGGGGAGGTTGTTGGAATGCAACGACTCAGCGGTGGAGTATCGCGAATCGTGCGGTGTGAACCGACCTCCGACCGAACGTGAGTCATTCGTGTGAAAACTCGAATGTTAATGTGGAAGCACTATTGCACGTGTCTTAGTTCTGATAAAAATAGACTTTAAACAAAAAATCCAAGAAGCGTATCCTTTACGCAACGTTCAAATGATTTCACAAAAATATGTAGAACACGTTTATTTTACACGAGACGGTGTTTAATAATAACCCGTTCGCAAAAAATGACATTAGCAGTCTTTATGTTGCATTGGTCCGCGCCAAGAGTAATCTTGCAAGTAACATAGGTATGTATGTACCAAGATAAGATATGCAGATATTGATCTATCAAATATTATAATCTCATTGTTACTTAAATAAAATATTACATATTTATGCATATTCAAATAGTAGACACTAACCACAATTCTAAGGCTTTAATTAAACTTTGCTGAAAACACTTTATCACTGAAACCCTTCTTAATTTCAATTTTAATTACTTTACAATAATTAGCTACTTAATTGAGTTGACGAACAATTAGATATCTATAGTTTTTTCGCTAATTTATACAAAATCTATGGTGAATATCACTGACAAAAAGTATTGAATTGTTACTGAACAGAGCCAAATCCACTAAATTCTATCGACACCAACTTTAAGTGACTCTAACACTTATTCGTACAAAGAACCTTTAATGCATACGAGCGGTTTATGTGATATTGTTACTGTTAGCCATCAAGTCTAATTACTTGACAGCTGTTTAACGGCTTGCAAATGGATTACTAACGGCTACTACATCTTAACATCGACGATCAAGCTTAGATGCAAAATTTTAAAGGAGTGAAATAGCAGATGATATATTATTATTAAATAGGGAATCTATTACTTCTTAACGATATGAAAACTCATGTGTATTTCCTATCTGAAAAGGAAGTAGAAGGAGATATGCACGTGATAAAAATTTTCAATGCTATAGAAATCCACGCAGACTATGCTAAACGGGGCTATTCCTACCTATCGTTTTCACCGCTGCAACTCCTGTGTAGCTAGGATCTACAGCTTGACCGCCAATAAAAATCCAACCAGTGAAGATCAAGTTTATCCAGGGGGAAAGCTAAACTGTCATTGGACCCGTTACGAAATTAATCAGAAGAACATAGCGTTCACTTGCGACGACAGTGTAGTTCGAAGTCACTCCGTCGTCGAAAGTGGACGAAGGAAGAGTTCGAAGTCAAGGTTCGACTTCCCTCCAGACCAAGCTAGTCTACTATACCATATTAAGTTAATTAATTTGGACCTGCGAATGGTTGGGACACTGGACCACAATTACCACGCCACTGGCTAAAGTGGCATTAAGCGTTGATGTAGGATATGAAGTATGAACCATTCATCTTTTTCTGTAATTTGATGTTAGATCCACAAGTGTTTTTCTCATGATCCAAGTTTTTTATAGTGTTTTTTGCAACCCGTTCATAATTTCGCTTTATACGTCGGTTGAACAGCAGTTTTCATTGAAAAAAAAATATTTATTATCGATTCTCTTGTTACCCTTATTCAGGTTAGATTGATTGATATGAGTATTGATTGATAGGCCGTGGATAAACATGGTCTTCATTTTCACGTCGGCAGCGCGACGCTGCCCGCAATCTCTTAATTAGACCATGTTACCCGCTTCATAGTGGATGATTGAGGTGAATGTTTAGTATTGGATCAGTAGTTCTCGAGATTACTATTTAGATCTTGAAGCAGAGCTAAAGTAGAAGGTAAAGTTTTAGAGTATGAAAATTTATTGTTAATAATTTGTACAAAATATGTACAGTATTCGTTTGTATTAATTATCTAGATAATGCTGTAGCATAACCTTTTTACTCTTTCTCTCTTTTTTATCTATTAGGTAGGTACATTGTTTTAAACTTTCATGTTCTCTACGTTAGTTGTTTGGTATGATGTAATTTTGCTTATAACTGCTACAACTTTTTGAAGACTTATCGAAGATGTTAATGAGTACGAATGCATTCTCTTGCTTTCAGATAAAATTATAGTCATGTGAATGGATCAGATATTGGGGACATTTAATCCTACTTAAACCATTAGATGATCGACGAGCACGATCAAGTCTAATGCCAATTTCATTACAATGTTGAATCAATAATATTCACAGCCGTTAGAAGATTCTCAGCATGATAACACTTAGTTGTAGTTGTGTGCGCGTATAAATTAATACACAAAGGTGGGCAACCTCGACTGAGAGCAGAGTCTGACCGCGCCATTGTATGCAGATGCTTATTGAAGGTGTTAAGTCTGCCACCTAAAGGCGCGACATAAATTTTGTCGCACTTTACATGGCGAGCGTAACGATGTTATGATATCATTATTTTAACGCGACGAGATTACCCGTCAAGATTATCGGATGTCGCTGCAGCTAATAAACCCTTGCCACACCGGTTTTGAGATGCGCAGCGGTGTGAAACGGATACATGTTATTACTTATTTTTGAGGGTACAGTTTTGTTTTCTCATACTAATATTTAAACAAGTTTGCAAGTTTGTGGGAATTCAATAATGAACTTACTGTAAAGATGTATACTATAATTAATCAGGTTAGAGTTATCTCTACCTTTTATTGATAAGGATAAATCTCACACCTCATTATCATTGCATGTGCCTTGATTTTTAATTTAGACTGATATTAAATTATTTGAGAAGCTAATGATAGAGTTGTCATCATGTCATTGAAACTCTACAGGAGCTCTTAGTCACCTTTTACGACATCCTTGGGAAGACTGGGGACGTTCCTCTCTGCCGGAACCAAATGGCACTTGATGACGGGTGATTGAGTCAAGCCATGACTTTTGTATTACGGAATACATGTTAGAAGCTAAATTATTATATTTATGCCCAGGAAAATGTAGGGAAATCTTTTAAATTCGTGAAAGAATTTTCAGTTTTGGACAGAATAAAAACACGGGTGGTTGGTATGTCCACAAAATCTTAACAATTGTTTTATTTTTTTATAATATAGCGCAAGTGTACAAAATTGTGATCGTCAAGTAATAATCTCGCTCGTGTTCAATTTCACTCAGAATTAATAGATTTGTGAAAACTGCCTAAACGACTTCTACGTGTGTTCTTACTTTTCTCATAATGATCGTTGATGTTGATCGATCAATAAGTACGGTAATTATGAGCTGTAAAAATAGTATTGATTGATATAAAAAATGCAATTAGCTATATCCACTGTGTAGGTTAGTGTATCAGAATCTATCTTTTACATTTTTATTGAAGTTCCATGTTTATAATGTTTCAAGCTAGCACGGTAGTTCAATAAATCTTAATTAGCCTGTTGTGTGAGGCGTACCCGGCGCATTTATTATTAAAAACGCAACTTTAACATTATGAAAAAAATCAATTGCAAATCATTAGTGGGGTCTCAACGAGTCGATTGCGTGCTCGCTAGGTGGTCGAGGCCGTAACTGCAGTGGACAATCGATTCACGGTACCAATGCGGCATACTATGCGACACTATAAATTGAAATCACTTTTAAACTTTTCTACCATTACTTTGATGTCCATTTACGGGTGTGTTCGGGTTAGTTCTAAAGTTTCGCCGCTGACGCAGCGATGGATGCGAGCCGGGTGATTATTTTCAGGTCGCGCGGCCTATCGACGCTTTATGCGGTAGGTGTCAGAGACCTGTCGCACGCGAAATGTTTGGAGTCGAGGTGCGAGCGATTCGCGTGCTGAAAATATTTAATTAAAATAATAATTATAATTATTACACTAAAATTAAACATTTAAAAATTTTTGAGTAAGCAACTCATTATTTGTGTTTACAAAATGTACTCACTTTGCCACAATATGAAAATTTATTTATTATTTCTTACATAAATGAATGCAACTAAAAACATTCAGTGGCAATAATTTTCTCTATTATTATACAAACCAAATGTTTGTATAGCCTGACCAGGAACATAAAAACCCTCGCCATGTTGCGGAAAACTAATGGTACTAATTTCTTTTAATGGCAACAGTAACTGAAAACTTCATTGACATGTCACCTTGCATGTCAGTCTATTGTTGTCAAAGTGTAAACAAACTTTATTTTAAATGTGTGCAATTGATTTTGTGAATTAAATTGCTAAAATATTTTTATAGTCGTGAAAGAAAAGTGGTTCACGGTGTGTTAATGTATTTGTCGAAGAGAAATACTAAGGGTTCGGACAATATTTTCATTGAATAATGTTTCCGACAAAGGTTGTCAAATTGACTGACATGTTTATCGTATAGTACAGTCCACTATGAAAATTAGCTGTAGTCTGTTTCAACTACCCATTTTAAAGTTTTTTGTTACTTTCTAAGTTTTGAATTTTATGGAATTGAATACGCACTACTAGTTACCACCCCTGTGCTAACGGCTTAGTTGAGAGGATGCATCGACAGCTAAAGTCAGCTCTCATGTGTCACGGCGATTCCTGGTGCAATAGCCTTCCAGTTGTTTTATTAGGTATGCGTTCTGCGTTGAAAGAGGACTTACAGACTTCTGCGGCAGAATTGGTGTATGGGGAACCACTGCGTTTACCAGGGGAGTTTGTTTCGCATGCCAAGACTGATCGTGTTGAAGATATTAAATCTTATGTAGCACAATTGCGGAAATATGTGGCTGATCTGAAACCTTGCTCACCTGTACGTCACGGTCAACCGAAGACATTTGTATCACAAGATCTGGCAACGACTAGCCATGTGTTCCTTAGGGATGATATTCCAAACAGACCTGCTTTGAAATGCCCATATTCTGGTCCGCATAAGGTACTTAAAAGGGGTGATAAAACGATAAGTCTTGATGTCGGCACGAGGAATGTTTCTGTAAGCTTGGATAGGGTTAAGCCCGCTTTCATTGATGTCGATCCATCTGCGATTGCATCATCCACGCGGGTGTCTGGAGCATCTCCATCTTCGTCACCACCGTCATCGCCTCATTCATCACAACCCGCCGCAATTGTGCCTCCTCTACCAATCACGAAGGCTTATACCACTCGGTCAGGCCGTAGGGTGAGGTTTAAAGTCCCCGCAGTTTCATAAGTTTTTTTTCTTTTTCTTTCTTATGGTGGATCCAAGTTTTTTTTTAGTTTTTTTTTGCCGTGGGCTATCTTTCTTCGTGGGGGGGTAGTGTAGCGGTAAGCAAAACTCTTTGCGCCGGGTATAGGCTACGGCGGTTGCGATGGTAACCAGGTTGTTGATGTCAGGAGAACGTCAGGTAGTAAAATAGGAGATTTTACAAGATATTATATTTTATTCAAAAGTGTCTACGTGAGTTTCCATATTAAGCCACGTACCCTTTAGTTTCATTTAATTTATTTAAACCAGGTTACCTTTAATAATATTTTTCGTTCATTTATGAAAATATCAAATTAGCCCGTAATCCTGAATCCTGATGGCCTGAAATTTAGCCTATTAATTTAACACATGTACGACTGTACTCAGTGTTGCACTATCAAATGCAATTGAAGCGCCTCTATGCCAGGGTTTTTATGTTCCTGGTCAGGCTATAAATAACTTTTTTATAATAAATCAAAAATATTACTCTCTGTTACCTGCACCATAACCCATAAGTGTCAAAAGAATCGAATGACAAGCGTGCTGAATACGACTGATGTGACCGTTCCGATTGCTCTATAAAATCCCTATCGACTTCCGATCGCAAGGCGAGACCAAGTGGTTAACTTCGGCGAACCAACACGTCGGCATGTCGGCAGGAAGTTTTAACTAGGTGTTATGACTGTTGGGAACCGATTGGTGGATCAACCTCTTTTTTATATTGTCTATGTTTTTTATACTTTTTTTATTACTTTTGATACCTTTTGTTTAGAGTTTGAAGTTGATGTTTTTTGATAGCCGTTGTGGGCATATTTTGCAGGAATACATCTTCATTTTAACCGAAGGTTTTTCTTATTTCCGCACGCCCGAGCGGCTGTCCTTCACATAGTTTCGAGCCGGATCCATTTTGGTAAATATGAAACGGATTCAAGGTAAGTCCACTGTCCATTCAATTGAGGCGACTTCCACTGACCCTCATTCTGCCCATCATGTCATTGGGGAGGCGTCAGATCGCCATTCACAATCATCCCATCCTTCATCCCAATCTCGACATTCTTTGAGGAGCACACGCTCAGTCGTGGTGCAACGCCTGTCGGCAGAAGCCCGACACGCTGCTGCAATCCTCGAGATCGAGGAAGAAAAAGAAGCGCGACAGGCTCGGTTAAGTCAGCTAAAGATAGACGCCCAAAATAGAGCTCTTGCTGCCGAGTTAGCAACATTGGAAGCAGCATCTTCCAAGGTGGCTTTGAATTCTTCGCATGCTAATTCTGTCCAATCTTGGCTTCACAGTTTGCCGGCCGAGTTTCCACCTTCCACTCAACCTCCAATCCCGGAAGCCGTGGGTCCTGTCATCCCGCAACCAGCTCCTCTTCCTCGCCCGCACGACCCTCAAGCTCCACATCGTGCGGAGGAGAACCGCAACAGCGCCGTTGAAGATTTGGCACGAGCTATAATGTCACTTGGTAATAAGCCCAGGATTTGTGACTTACCAATCTTCACAGGTAAGGCTANCAACAAACTATTCACCTTCTAGACGACCGTCTCTCGAGCGGTCAATTTGGTGATGTTTTAAGCTTTCGTCCTGAGTTCCCTGAGGAGTTTCCGTCCAGGTTAACCAAACGCGACGTACTTTCTTATTTTACGCGTTTGATTAATCCGATGGACATTTTATCGCCATTTATCATTCACGGACGAATCCTCCTCCAGGCTACCTGGATAGCCAAGGTTGGCTGGGATGAGGCCTTACCCAGCGACCAGTTGAAGCTTTGGCCAAATACTGAACCTTCGTCAGCTCTAAGTATAGAATGCTTCCGAGAATTTAAGAACGTTGATAGCATTCATGTAACGGTAGATACGTCTATTCCGGTCGTAGCAGTTTCGACGCGTTTTTCTGTTTGGCTGAGATTTGTGCGCGCGACTGCCCGCGCGCACCAATTAATCAAAATTCTAAGAAATCGAATAAATTCAAAATTAAATTCGACTCGTTTGGGTAATCTTTTGAATCATCATTCACGACTTCCATCCTCATCTTGACATTTCGTGAAGCTTTTGAAACCTCTTGAAGCTGAAGACCGGCTGAGGGCTGAGCAACATTAAATATTCAGGAGTTGTCAGAAGGAATCCTTCCCGAAGGAATGTGAGGCGCTGCAAACCAGTTTCGACAAAGCGTCCCATGCAGCTCCTGGATGGCCGGCGTAGAACAGTACAGCTTATGTTAAGACATTACCACCAGGAAGCTGCGCACGCCCAACCAAGACTCGTGATGAATGAAGTCCGTCGAGGTTTTTGGGTGCTTCATCTGCGGGCCTCCATTCGATCCATCGTCCTACAGTGTGCCTTAATAAAGCGAAAGCCATGTCTCCCCCCATTGGAGATCTGCTTCCGGAGAGACTAGCGCATCACCGACGCCTTTTACTTGCATGGGGCTAGATTGCGTGGGTCCAGTTCTCATCACAGCGGGCCGAAGGCATGAGAAACGTTGGATCGCACTCTTCACCTGCTTGACTGCGAGAGCGATCCATTTGGAGCTGGTGGCCAGTTTATCGACAGACAGCGCGCTCGTGACGTTGGAGGCGTTTTATTGCACGACGCGGCGCTCCATTGAAGATTTTTCCCGACAGTGGGACGGCTTTCGTCGGCGCTTCCAACATATTGAAGTCCATGGCAGAAACTGGAGCCAACCCTGGCATTTCTTGGTCCTTTCAACCGCCAGTGGCTCCGCATATGACGCCCCGTAGAGACTGCCTTGTATGCCATGCTCCGAGAACGTACGCCCAAGCAAGAGCTTTTATTCACAATAGCCCACTGCAGAGATACCAGCCGACCCCGATTGCCCTGAAGCCCTTACACCGTTCATGCCATCTTAAGCGCTTCATTCCCATTCCATCCAGGCTGATCCACCTGTCGGTGCACCCCTAGAGTAGTGTGGCTTCGCCACAGGAGGGGAGGATGTTGGGAACCGATTGGTGGATCAACCTCTTTTTTATATTGTCTATGTTTTTTATACTTTTTTTATTACTTTTGATACCTTTTGTTTAGAGTTTGAAGTTGATGTTTTTTGATAGCCGTTGTGGGCATATTTTGCAGGAATACATCTTCATTTTAACCGAAGGTTTTTCTTATTTCCGCACGCCCGAGCGGCTGTCCTTCACAATGACTTACTTCTTAATTTTAACTTCACACTTTAAAAGTAAGCATCTAGGGAGCAAGCGTGTTCTCGCGAATTACGAGGTTACTTCATCGGAGTTTTATACGCCTCCTATCGATTTTATTGTTGGTTATTTTTAGAATTTATAAAAGAAACTGTGTTTAGATCGGCTGCACCTACAGAAGAGTCTTCTTGAACTTTGACTTGAACTTCAAGATAGATTCTGATAGTGACATCTTACTTTGGTGACGTTCCATCACTATCAGTGTGCCTACCATGAGTTAACGTTAGGTGAGCTCGCTAGCGAATACGTCAAAAAATTCTATGAAGATTTTATTTCTTGAAAGTAGCCGCTAGAGGCGCTGCACAATATGTCATACATTTAAATGTCATTTTTTTACGCAGTCGCTAGCGAGCACACCTAACGTAAACTCATGGTAGGCACACTGAGCAGTAAGAATGTTGGATGCTGATTCAAGTTGCGGCTCTGTGCTCTATGAAGATTCGCCCTGAGCTCTATGAAGAGTCACGGCCTGGTAGCATGTCATAAAGGCAATGGAAGATCAGAACATCAAAGCATACAAAATTGAATCATTGAAATCATGCTAGTAGGTACCAACAAACGATCATTGATCAAACCCTAATAAATATTTTGTTATAAAATAAGCCATTGCTCCGCTACTTGAAACATCATGCTCTGAAATTAATAGTAAAATATCAAATTTTTTTGCTCAAACGAATTCCGTTATAAATTGTAGATATGATTCACAGATATGTTAGATAATAATATGATTACTCACAGATACCGGACAAGTGAATGTAAGTTAAAGCTTGTAAAAATCCCGCACCCGCCGCCTTGGCGCCATTTGAGAGCAAAAAATAATATTGGCTGCCCTAATTAAACTACGCATTCATAATTATTTCTTTAACACACGCTTAGTAGCCGATCGGGCTAATATGCGTATTTTATCTTAACTAGGTACTTTAAATACGTCTATTTAAAATCAACAAGTTCATTCTTTATGTTTAAGACCCGAGTCAAACTCGCATGAAAATTAAAAACCGTTTATCGTTTGTGAATATAGTTTAATTGAGGCTATTTCTAATGAAACTGAAATTAACTTTAGCGTAACGAGCTCATTGATTACTAATATATTTTATACTAATGAGAGAATGGGCTATTCTATATTTTAACATTTACAGACAATAAATAGCGTCGTTGTTGCTAATTTACTTAAGATAGTAATACAAAGGGTAGATATGATGGTTGCGCTTAACTGGACGGAAATACTTTTATTATCGTAATCTCTCACGTGAGCATTAAACATTAATGGGTCTAATTCTTTTAATTGCTTTGAGGGACTTGTAATTGCGGGCTGTAGTGAAAAAAAAAGGGAAAAAACATGACCTTTACAGGGCCACACGTCTCTGGTAATTCCGCAAGGCTGCGACCGCCTACAGTGGCAAGTGTGTTTGGGGCCTAAGTACGCATTTATGACGTTTCATTATACCTAAGATAGATGATATGAAGGCTTGGTACGTGACTGTGTTTCTGGAATGTATTTTGGAGGCACTGCGAGGTGTGACAAATGATTTGTCACCTTTAAGTTTCTGGTATGCAAATACAAATGCATACATTAGTCATTTTATTAATTTTATGAAAACAAAATACAGCTACATGAATAAATGCTGACATTATTGCTTTTAAAAAATTATATTAAAAAGCAAGCTGTCCTACTAAGTAGATTACACGCAATTTTATTAACTTTTCGTATTTTGTGAAAAGTTTCAGCAATTAATATCCGTTGAGTCACTAAAAGAATAATAAACATTTTAA